TCGTCTTGACATTATAGTCTTGGAGAAAGAGGCATAGATGGGAAATGTGGAGGTCATTCAGGCAGCAGCAAGTGAAGCAGAGCAACTCCCATTTGTGCTCAGCCAGATGTTCACTAGCCTTTGCCAATAGCTCAGAAGGCTGATGCTACATAAATTACTATATCCCAGGGACTAATTCAATGGGTGTGATGGAAGAGGAAGGGAGGAGAATGGTACCCTGTCGGTCAGAGGTCAAAAATGAGACTGCACCAAGCAATATTCAGCCATTTTTTTAATTATTTTTTTTCTGTGTGGATTGAAAGCATTTCATTTTCCCAAAGAATGTAGAAGAAATGTCAATGATTTTATTAGGAATAAAGAGGCAGGTTATTTATGAAAAAAAAAATTCCTATATAATGATGAGATGTATACCCAATGACTTGTAACTTGATGAACTGAAGGTCATTTTTGAAAAAAATACAGTAGCCTTTGACAGCTGTCAGCAGTGTGATGAAGTGAAAATCTTTAGAAGGCTTCTCTCTCTCTCTCTCTGTTCTTTGCTGAGAGTATGCCAATAGCAAATCGAACTGCCTGGCCTCCTTAGCGATTAGTAGGCTCTTCAGGTTCTTCTAGAGGAATTGTTCTTCATCTGGTGTGTCTACTTTTCTTTCTAGGAGAATTATTTTGCAGAAGCAGAGTAATAAATAAGGACTTTTCTTTTAGCGTACGTATTTGCACTCTCCAAGTGCTGTTAGTGGAAGAAAATAAATCTATTGCTACCCTTCACATGTTTATGTTTGTATCATAGGTCTGGAGGTAATCTGTGCTCTGCTTAGAGCACCACCATGTGCAGACTAGCAGTGAGCTAAGGGCTAGGGATCAATGCCCTGTGATGAAAACGATCATCTAACAAATGGGGCTCTTGGATACAAAAAAATGGAAATTAAAAATTGAGCTCTTGCTAGCACCCAGTTTTAAATCTGCTTTGTTTCAGATGAGTTGATTCTGATTTTGAATGCTTGAACCTTGCCAGTGCTGATGCCTTTTAATTTCTCAGAATTTCCTAGAGGCTTCAATTAAGAAGCTGATTTTCAAGGTCACTAAAATACCACCTTAGCATCCTGAGCATTATTTCTCAATCAGTGGGAAACTGTCATGGAGGGACAGAGAGCCTTTCCCTCCTTAAAATAAAGAAATAAGCAGTGCCCTCTAGTGTTACCACCAGAAGAAACCACCAGGGGAGTTTTTTTATCATCTGCAATTAGATGCAGATGTTGCAGAAAGAGCTGCAGACTTCTTTTTTTTTCTTTTTTTTGAGATTTAGTTAGGTAGAAAAGATATGACAATCTCTGACTTAATATACTTTCTTTCGTCCTGATACCTTATGGCAGGTTTATAATGCATCTCCAAACAGTACGTGATCTGTGGGAGAATACGTGCTTTTCAGGGCTCTTGTTGTTTGGCTATTTTAGTAAAATGATGAGACATGATGAACCCTCAATGGAAAGCACAGCAGCTAGTGTTTTGCTTGGAGCTCCAAGGTTCAATGTCTGGCCTTGTTTAATACTGACAATAAATATTCAAGCTCATATCCAAGCTCCTTAATTCTGTCAAGGATTCTCAGGATTATATCACTAGCCACCTTTTCTCCTTTTCTAACCTGCCTGGCCAGTGTGATTGGGAGCTGTTATTTATTTATTTGTTTATTTATTTATTTCTAATAAAAGCAAAGCAGCTGTCCCCTCTCTCCTGCTGGTGTTGGGGTTCCTGCATGATGCAGTGCAGTTTATAACAGGTTACCTGGGTAAGTTGTATGGGCTGTCGCTGAAGCACCTTGTCGGGGAGGGAGGAAGGTTGGTTCAGATGACAGTAGTAGTTGGGGTAGTTTGGACTTGTGCTTAAAAACCCTGAACGTACTTCATTTTGGTTAAAGGGGCCTCTGTCAGGGATGTGCCTGCAGGAATTATGATCACCTCAGTACTTTTTTTTTTTTATCAGAGAAGGACAGCTTCCTGAGTGTGACGGTTTCTGTTTTGTTAGATGTATTCTCACAGTCAAGGTTCCCTTCTGGGCGTTTGGGAGCAAGCCCCGTGACCACCGCAGAGTTCACATCGCTGTTGGCACATGGGAGTGCTATAGGGCCCCACTGCTGCTTCCCAAGTGTCCCTCAGCTCAGATCTGGTAGATACATGTTCAGCTTTTTGCAGAACACCCCACAGAAATTCAGTAAAATAGGAACTTGTATGAAATGATCTCTGGAGTGGTTTGACTTATGCAGGCTTTCCCATCTGCGGAGAATTTCACCCTGGTTTGAAGTCAACTAAACTAAAACATTTTCTAATGTAGCATTACTCTGGAGTGCCACCTTCTCCCCTCTCTCCTTGGGATAGGAGTCTATGAGCATTTTTCATGGTTGCCACACTATAAGATAAGGGTGCCAAGACTTAAGAAGACAGCCTGCACACAAAAATGTAAGTAGAAATAGTTAGAAGCTTGTATTCCTGAGTTGATTCAACAAGATTAACCTAAGGTGAGGAGGGAGCTATGAAATTGCCTTTATATAGATTGCAGTGCCTCGGCAAGAAGCAGCAGGAATGGGATGATGAATCTTAATGATTGCTCCATGAAAAGTGGTGTCAAGCCAGTTCAAATGTTTGCAATACCTGCTTCTGTCTGGTCGCTGCTGCTGCTACAGCAATGGATCCTTTTATTTATTTATTTATTTATTTGAACTGCAGTTAGGAACTTCTCTTTTTTACTACATCTGAATGCCATAGCACTACTTGTGCTATTGGCCAAGAATGATGTTATTACTGTAAGCACAAGGGGAAAAATCAACTTTGTTCTTTTGAGATACTCTAAAAAGCCGCATGTTCAAATGATAGCAACCATTGCTGCAGTATTTTAACAGCTAGCGCTTCCCCCCCCCAGGCTGGGGGCTGATAATGTTCCTCGCAAAGAAGGCTGACAGATGGCATTTGTTAAAATGTTGATATTTATGCACAAAGTTGCCAGGACTTTAAGAAATGGTGCCGCTCTTAATTAAGATGATAATGTACTGCCTTGTTTGGAGACACTCTGCTCATAAGGATGCTGGTGAATTATGAATAGAGTAATAACAAATGCCAGATGGAGATATCTTTCAAAGAGGAATATTTTGTGTAATATGGCATGTAACATTGACCAACTACGTCCTTAAAGACCGCTATTATTGTTTAAGCTTTCCTGACAAAATTACTCTTTATCCTGCCAAGAAATGTAGTTTCACATGCCAGTGTGTTCTTAAGCTAGAGTAATTAAAGCATGCCTCTAAGTTTATGGCTTGAAATGAAATCCTTCCCTCCAGTGTTTTGTCAGGATTCTGTAAACAGTGCAGGAAAGGAGACAACTTATAACAATAATAGTTTTGCCAATTCTACACATTCTGCCTTTGAAACCGAAGGCAGTTAGGGATGAACAAAATTACTTAGGAGTTTTACAAAAATGTGCAAGTTTTGCTGAAGCTTTACTTCACTATTTTTTTTCTTCTCTTTTGAAGGCAACTGTGAGGAATAAGAAACATTTGTCTTAAATTAAAACTTGCCTTCTTTGTTTGAAGTGAAAAATGATTACTGAGGTATAAATGCATCAAATCTGCATATCGTGTGCCTTTTTATAATTTACTGAGAATGGGTGGGGTAATAAAACTTAATGTCATTTTGTAATGTAATTAGTGATTAGAATATAAATAGGCAAGGGAAAATAAAAAGGAAAACATAGGGGTTGGCATTTTGTTTTCTTACATTCTTGCTCCATAGGCAGGCGAAGTTCGATCTGTGCAGCTACTGCGGCCACTGCTGCTGCCCGTTGCAGATGAAGTGCTTTGGTGGTGTGGGGTGAGGCAATGTGTGTCGGGGCAGCTGACTGCAAAAGTTTGATTTGTCTTGGTAATTGCCTTCCTATTACTTCAAAGCAGTAAAATTCAACACAGAGAAAATTAGGAGTGTGTACAGCCACTGTTGAATATAGTCTCAGGTGTATATGTCAGTGTAGTAGACCTTAGGTTACGTTGTGCTCTACCCACACCCAGAGATACAAAACATTTCCTAATGCACAATAATTAACATAAAACATATGTAATGAACATCTTCCAAAGGCCAAACACTGTGGCAGGATACAGAAAGGTTACTGCTATCTACTTCGATTTGTTTTTCTGTGAGTGCATATAATAGGAGTATAAACAATGTAATATATTTCCATACTGCATGGTGAAGAGAATGCTTCAGCTTATATTAGAAAAAAAACTAAGATAAGTGTTCATGAGGATAAAACACTGTTTTGGATTATACTTAGAACAGACTGTCCAGCTATTTTTGGTATTAATGTTCGTTGCAGTTGTAGAAAGGGATTAAAAATAGAAAGATGAGAGCACTGGAAAAGAATGTTGAGAGGGGAGACAAGCAAGAATGGGATTCAAAATATAATGACAAAATATTTTTATATTAAATACAATATTTATATATGTTATATAATATTTATATGTAATATACAATGTATAATATTTACATAATATATTTAATATATAAAATATAATAATTATGTATATAATATTAAATATATTTAACAAAATGTATTTTGTGATAACAAAAGCAGAGACTGCTCTCAGCTGAGTCATTTGATAGTGATTTGTAACTTAATAAACCATAATTTAGCTTTGTGCAGAAAGAAGAGTATTTTTGACTGTTTCTGAAATATCCTTAGAGTGTTGCTACTCACTAAGCTCTTTTGAAAGTATAGTAAACTTACCTGGGAGATGTCATCTGTAATTATGCACAGATAAACCCTGGTCTTACTAGTGTTTTTTAATGAGCAAGCATTGTATATATGAACAAGAAACTTGCTTACTTTAAAAGCAGTGTACCTAATGGAAAATTGGCACTATGAATCTTCCCACTAACCCTCCTGAAATCTGTGCCCCTTTTAAACAATGTTGTCACTTTTGCTATTGCTGACCTTTCTGTTATCTCTTTTTTTCTTTTTAGAAAAACTCTACAATTCCAATGGACGGGAGCTGAGACGGGCGCTTTTCTCCTTGAAACAAATATTTCAAGTAAGTGAATATGTTATCAGTGGCACTCGGATGAATATGGCTTGAATCTCTTTATTGATGTAGGGAATAGCTTACAGGTGTTGGCAAAGGAGAAAATTTTAGGAACCCATTTTTAAAGAGCATTCAGGTCTGCAAGCCTTCCCCCATTACAACTGTCTGAAGAGGACAGGACTGATTATGGAGGAATGGCAGACTTAATGGCTGCTGGGAAGGGAGGAAGAAAACTGGGAGTCTTGCATGGAAAGCTGTGCTGCTTGTTGGGCAGTGAGACAGATAATGCTGTATTGGGAAGTTTGAAAGGGAGATTCATAAAGCAGAGCTAGAAACCTATCATTGGAGCAATGGGTGACCACAGAAGTATTGTTGACAAATGGATTAGGTTTAAGCTGAATTAAAAAAAATAAAAAAAAAAAAGAAAGAAAGAAAAAGAAAAAAAATCTAAAAAAGGATAAGAGAAGACATGGGACAAATCTGAGATATCTGATTTTTGACTTAAGTTAGAAATGAGAGGCCCTAGTATATTGGTTAATCCAGAAAGATACTTCACAGAAAGACAAGGATTCAGATATGTGCTTGTTATGGAGAAGAGCAGAATCAGTAGGACCTTGAGTCCTTTGGAGAAGGAACAGATAAGACAGAGAAATGCTGTGGGCAGCATGAAGGTAAACAGATGGAGATGCTTTCAATATAAGATCCATTTGCCTGGCTAAAGGGAAGGACTAGGTAAAGATGCAGGACTGGAATAAATCAGGTTAAAAAGAACAGGATAGAGAAAAATTTTTCTTTTTGTGTGTGAGAACCAAGCATCCTACAAGTCTAATCCTAAAACTAAATTCTGAGGGAGAAATTCCACTTCTGTCACTAAATAGCACTGAAATCAATTAAACAACAACAAGAAAGTACACTTCTTATCCTTTAAAAATTGGTGATGACAAGCTGTAGCCATATAGAGCTGCATGGCACAGGTATTAGTGTTTGAAGTACATGTAAGAATTTCAGATGCTTACTTAAGCATTTTTTGGTTTGTTTTGAATTAATATTTGTTCTAAGAAGAACAAGAATATTTCAGTAACATTTGTTCTAAGAACAAGAAGAATATTTCAGTAAATCTGTAAGACTGCAGAATGGGATTTTTCAAAGCATACAGAACTTGAAAGTTCAACATTTATTAGTAAGTACCAGAATGAATTTTCGAGCAACAGGAATAGTTGGGGAAGTGATCTCATTTCACAGAGAATTTTGGTAAATGAAGATAGCCTTCTCAGGTCACAACAAAGCTGCTTGTGTTTTGAAAATTTTTGGATAGGAAAGGAGTTCCAACTCCAAACAAGTCTGGTTGTCTCATGGTTACAGATTGAGAAAACCATTGCATATTCAAGGCATTCGCAGGGAAGGGCTGAGTCATGAAGATGCAAACTGGGTTTCCCAATGAGCTTGCCAAGTGGGTAGACTGCATGCTTAGAGAAAATTAGGCATATTTCCAAGAGCTGGCTCTGTTTTCTTCTCTCTCCCTTTTTTTTTTTTTTTTTCTTTTTTTTTTTTCTTTTGGTGTTAAACACATCTCATTCTGGGAAGTATTTGTTTGTTTATGTGAATTTACATACTCCATAAGCTTAATTTGAGCCTTCATGCATATCACAGAATCATAGAATCATAGAATCATTATGGTTGGAAAGTCCTTCAAGATCATTGAGTCCAGTCATAAGCCCTTCAACACCATGCCTGCTAAACCATGTCCCGACGTGTCTCATCTACACGTTTCTTGAATACTGCTGAAGACAGCGATTCCGCCACTTCCCTGGCATCCTTTTCTAATGCTTGACTGCTCTTTCTATGTAGAAATTCTTCCTACTATCTAACCTGAAACTTCCCTAGAACAACTTGAAGCTATTTCCTCTTATTCTATCTATAGTTATCATACAAAACTCCTTTCAGCCTTCCAGAGTCTCAGGCCCTAGGGACAAGAGAAGAAACCTGGAAAGAGGAAGAGTTGCCCTGGGTAGAGGAAGATTGGGTCAGAGAGAACTTAGGGCAATGTGACACTAACAAATCGATGGGCCCTGATGGGATGTACCGTAGAGTGTGCTGCATGAGCTGGCAGATGTTATAGCTAAGCCGCTTGCCATCATCTTTGAAAGGTCCTGGAGAACAAAGGAGGTGCCGGAGGACTGAATAAAGCCAATGTCACGCCAGTCTTCAAATAGGGCAAGAAGGAGGAGCCAGGCAACTACATGCTGGTGAGCCTCACCTCCATCCCTGGAAAAGTGATGGAACAGCTCATCCTGGCTGCTGTCTCTAAGCATGTGGAGGACAAGAAGGGGCTCAGGAATAGTCAGCAGGGATTCACCAAGGGGATATCACGCTTGACTAACTTGATATCCCTCTGTGTTGGAGTGACTGGCTAGATAGGTGAGGGGAGAGCAGTGGATGTCCTCTATCTGGACTTCAGCAAGGCTTTTGACACTGTCCCTCACAGCATCCTCCTGGGCAAGCTCCGAAGGTGTGGGATAGATGAGTGAACGGGGAGGTGGATTAGGAATTGGCTCAGTGGCAGGATGCAGAGAGTCAGCGGCGCTGAGTCCAGTTGGAGGCCTGTAGTTAGCGGTGTCCCCCAGTGGTAAGTCCTTGGTCCAGTCCTATTCAATTTATTCATCAGCAACCTGGATGAAGGGATGGAGTGGCCCATCAGCAAGTTTGCTGACGATACCAAACTGGGAGAAGTAGGTGACACCCGAGAAAGCTGTGCCACCAGCCAGAGGGATCTGGACCTGGATAGACTGGACAACTGGGCAGTGAGAAATCTCATGAAGTTCAACAAGGGCAAGTGCAGGAATAATCCCAGACACCATTACAGGCTGAGGACTGACCTTCTGGAGATCACCTCTGTAGAGAGGGACCTGGGTGTCATGGTGGATGACAAGTTAACCATGAGCCAGCAGTGTGCCCTCACAGGCAAGAAGGCCAATAGGTTCCTGTCCTGCATCAGCAGGACTGTTGCCAGCAGGTCAAGGGAGGGGATCCTGCCCGTCTACTCAGCCTTGGTATGGCCACATCTGGAGTACTGTGTGCAGTTCTGGGTTCCCCGGTACAAGAGGGATGTGGAGGTGCTGGAGAGAGTCCAGCACAGGGCTATGAAGATGATCAGGGCCTGGATCAACTGCCCTGTGAGGAAAGGCTGAGAGAGCTGGGCCTGTTTGGCTGAGGGGGGATCTGATAAGTGTACATAAATACCGTAAGGGAGGGAGTGAGGAGGATGGGACCTCTTTGCAGTTTGTGGCCACTGATAGAACTGGAGGAAATGGCCACAAACTGAAGCACCAAAAGTTCTGCAGGAACTTAAGGAAAAATCCATTGACAGTGAGGGTGACAGAGCCCTGGAACAGGCTGCCCAGAGAGGTTGTGGAGTCTCCTTCTCTGGAGATCTTCAAAACCCGCTTGGATGCTGAGTTGTGCCACGTGCTCTAGGTGACCCTATATGTGCAGGGGGGTTGGACTAGATGACATCCAGAGGTCCCTTCCAACCTTAAGGATTCAATGATTCTATGATTCTATAAAAATTAGAAAAGAAAAATACAAATTGAGATAACATTATAGGCCAAATACTCTTTTCCAAATGGTCCTACCTAATTTATTTTTATAGTCTATAACATCAGAGTATACAGACATTAGAAATCCATTTATCTAACTTTTTTAAGAGTATACTGCCATATGAATATCTATTTATTTTTTTTATCTTGTTGTATTTAGTATTTTAAATTCTTCAAGAATACAATGTTTTGGAAATCAAATATTGATTTCAAGACCAGTCTTTTTATTTTCATGTGATGATCATCTTAACAATTTCTAGAAAGTTACAGAGAATTCATCTTATCTTGAAGTGCCAAAACATTTTATCACACCATGTTTTTATAATCATTTCATTGTGGCTGAGTTAATTTGGCACAGCTCTGTGTCTGTATCATTTTTAATTTGAAGAACTTCAAGGTAATGTAAAGTCTCTTATTTGTACTAAATGGGAACAGGCCCAAGTTTTACATCAATACTGAGTTCCAAGTAGTTAGATCTTTTGGTTTTTCACACAAGGTTTCAGCGAAGCTTAGCTAGGTTTGGCAAATGCAGTGCCTTTGTTTCAAGTTTTAAATGAAAGATTCCTTTGGCAAGCACAAGCTTGGAATTTCTCTTTGGTTTCTTACGGTGGGCTGTTCTTGGCAAAAGGATAAGGATTATGCAGAGCATTTTTCTTTGACAGTAATGTCATTTCTGCTGTTGTAATTTGTTCTGAAAGGTCAATATATCCATATTCACGATGTTTGACTTGATTGTACTGCAATATCTTGCTTTACCAGTGTGCTTTTCCACAAATGGAGTAAAGAAAGTAATGTTCAGAGTATTGGGAGTATGTTAAAAATGCAACCATAAAGTAACTTTAAAAAGAAAAAAATGCACATATAGCTAACAATACATTGGGCTGCAATTTCCTTAAATCAGTCCTGTTGCCTTAGTTGTTGTATTCTTGAGCTATCAGAGATTCATGATTTTTAGGTACAATGTGCTAAACTCCCAAAGGCATTTAGTGACAGAATCCAGTCCAGTGTGGTGCTCATAAAATTAAGATGTACAAACTGTTTCATTCTACTGTAAAATAGGAAAAATATGACTTCTTTATTTTATTCAATCTGCATTCATCTGAAAGTGTAAAAGGTAGTTAAAAGTACCATAATATGTGCAAATGTATGTAGAATCAGAGAATTATAAAATCTTTATGGTTGGAAAAGACCTTCAAGATCATCGAGTCCAATCATAAGCCCTTCAACACCATGCCTGCTAAACCATGTCCCAACGTGTCTCATCCACACATTTCTTGAACACTGCCAGAGATGGTGACTGCACCACTTCCCAAGGCAGCCTGTTCCAATGCTTCACCACTTCTTCCGTGTAGAAATTCTTCCTAATATCTAACCTGAACCTCCCCTGGCACAGTTTGATGCCATTTCCTCTTG